GGCCGATGTAAAGCCACGCAGGGGCCGGGGATTATGACTCTGTGGAGATCAAAGCCTGCTCGACGCTTCGGGCTCATCAAAGGCGAGCGTGTCTGCGCTGATGTGGCAAAGCGACCGGTCCTGGATCAGAGCCCTGTGTCACCCCCACCGTCAGCACGGCAGGGTTTATCCCGACACAGAGGAAGCACCATAACATGCTGGCCTCGTGTTTACGAGCTTAGGTTTTAATTGCAGTTAAATGGCAGCACCTCGGAACGCTGCTGATTATGAAGAGGACGGCGGGGAAGGGCGGGGTGGGGCGGACGCTTAACTCAGATCTCACGGTTAATGTAGAAGCAGACCAGGAGAGGATTACTGCTTCACACTCATTACGCTCAATAACAAAGCATGACTCAGTACAACACAGCAAGAAGTCCATAAATCCATGGAGAGACACGTGCAGATTGAAAACATCACAAGCCATTTACCTTCAGCTCAACTAACGGAAATTTATGAAGCACATTCCTGTTGAAGACTAACAACAACAACCATATAGCCATAGTGTTACTTCAACTATGGACACTTCTGAATTAAAAAAAAATTTATAATAATTATAATTCATCACCTTAGAATTATAAGGTACATCTTCTTATTAAATGACAACTTATTTACATTGTGGAATGTTTTTTTTTAAAGGTTGTTTACATTTTAAGAATTTTTATTTTTAAAAAATGTTACACACATACTGTTTGTTATATGGAATGCAAAAACTTTGAAGCTCAATATCTCAAAATTATTCGGAATGCAGATAGAACCTTATAATTCCAAGGTGATAGATTATTAAAAAAAAAACTTTTGTTGATCATTTTTAGTAGAAACTGTCATCCTTGAAAATCCAGCAATTAAAAGTACTTTTATTTATTAAGGACACATTGCGTTGATAAAAAGTGACAGTAAAGTCAATCGCAATGTTATTACTCTATATAAAATATTAATATCAACTTTCTATTCAATGAAAAACATTTTAAAAATCACAAAAAAGTAAAGTGATGGTTGTCGACATCCCTAACCCTAAATCCCACTACCTAAATCCAAACCAATTTATTAAACTAAATGTCATAGTTAATGGATTGTTTAGAGTGAGAATTGTGTCATCTTAAAATTGTATAATGAACCTTAGTTAAACTAAAAACACAGTCTATATGATTTACAAAAACATAAAAAATGATGAAGGCATTATAAGAAGTTGTCAACTTGAGTCTCGACTACAACCCCAAATGCAGGCAGTCAAATCAATAACATATTAATTAGCATTATATATCTCCACAGACGGCACTATAGGTGTAAAAGTTTAGCCGAAGTCTGTGAGTTTAAAAAGTCAACATCCTGCGCTCTTTCCATGGTAATGAGTCACAAGGCTGTCTGTGATGACAAGAATAGAATTCCCTGATTCTGCATTTATGCATATTACCATGAGCGGGAAGCATAAATTAAAGCATAGAAAATGGAACAGAGAACCAAAAAACTGCACAAATACATTCTCACACAGCATAACCACCCTAGTTTATTGTTATTTTATTATGTTTGCTAAGGCTAGCATCACTATTGCTCATAATTATGTTTGGTAATTTGAACCAACCAAAAGTAACTATGTTTTTAACTTAAACTCCTCCAGCACCATTTTGCAATAATGACCCATCTGATAATATTTAGAGGGTTAGTTCACTTCCAAAAGTAGTTCCAAACACATAAGACATCCATTCTTCTTCAGGAACAATGAAGATATTTTAATCAAATATCTTCACCCAAAACCCTGACACTTTCATAAAGTTTTACATTATAAATCCTTTTAAATGAAGCAGTAAAATTCATTTCTTTTAAAAAAAATACCAAACCTCAATGGTTCTTCAGGAAACCAAACATTCTATGTGGCATGCAAGAATTAACCTCATTGGTTTCCACGTGTTAAGCAAGTATATGCTTGAGCTACTGTGACCAAATTTGAATGCAATAATTATTGTTTACTGATCAATGATAACTAATAATTTCTGAATAAATCCTCAATTACATAAAATTATTATATACATTTTTTGTCTCTTCAGAAGACTAAAGACTAAATAATTATATTCATATTTATAATATAATGTCTATATATTCTATATCAGTGGTTCTCAAAGTGGGGGTCGGGATTCCTCGAGGGGTCAAGGGACAATGAAGGGGGCTTGGTGGTTTATTTTTATTAAACCATAAGAATTACCATATTTTATCCATAACCTACTAAAGAGAAAAAATAGTTGTTTATAGTTACTATATACTACTGTATATAGTTACTATAGTAGCTTATAGTTACTAGTTCTATTGTATTGCGACCCCTGGGGTTATTACATTATATTAAAGACACAGCAATGAAAAAAAATAAACAAAGAATATACCTGGGTGTGTTGGTGTGTGTGCGCAATTGTATGCAAGGTTTATGTATTTATTACCACCTCAGAGGATATTGGGGGTCACGAGTCACAAGCATTGTCATTTTGGGGGTCGCAGGTTGAAAAGTTTGGGAACCCCTGCTGTATAAGGCTTTTTTTGTATTGAGTGAACAGACATTAAGTGAATAGACAGAAATTGATTGAAAAAAACTCAATTTTTGTTCTGAGATAAAAAAAAAGAAAAGATGACATGCATGAATCAACCAAATACTAATATATAATAATGTATTAAATGTAATATTCACTTCTGACTAGGGCTACTTTTTCACTTTTAATATTTAGAACATTCTCCTACAAGTACGTATTGCATAAAGGTACTTTTACATGAGTATGATTTTTCAGCACTCTTCCTAAACCCACACAGACCTTTCAGCTCCTTCCCAGCAGGCACACAACATTATAAGACGTTAATATTAGTTTAGATTTAGGTCATGACGTCAGGTGACCAAACTTCAATGTCTAGCCAACATCTAAGGACAATGTTATTTTGATGTTCAATGATGACATCAAATTACGCTGATATTTGGTTGTTTTTAGGTTATGTTGGAAAGTGACCAAAATCCAACGTCTGATAGATGTCATAGCGGTAACGTCCACACAACATCAATGTGTAACATGATTAGACGTTGATATTCGGTTGAATTTAGGTTGAATTTAGGTTGATTAAAGTCGGCCTGACCTTGAGTTCAGACTTCTTCATTGACGTTTTCATTTTCAAACAAAATCCAACATCCCCATGACATTAGGCCACGTTGGGGTGCAATGTCAATATGACATCATGTTGATGTCCTGTGCCTGCAGGGTTGTTAGCGATGCTCATTTTGACTTGTAACCCATACAGCGACAATAAGAAATGTAAAAGATTAATGCTATAAAATATTGGTTTAAATGTATTTTAAATCATTATTATTGATTTTGGGTGACGTGGTGGTGCAGTGGGTAGTGCTGTCGCCTCACAGCAATAAGGTCTCTGGTTCGAGCCTCGGCTGGGTCAGTTGGCCTTTCTGTGTGGAGTTTGCATGTGTGGAAACTGCGTGGGGCTTCAGTTTCCCCCACAAGTTCAAAGACATGCGTTGTAGGTGAATTGGGTATAAAATTGTCCGTAGTGTGTGTGTGTGAATGGGAGTGTATGGGTGTTTCCCAGAGATTGCACCTGGAAGGGTATCCACTGCATAAAACATATGCTGGTTAAGTTGGTGGTTCATTCCACTGTGGCCCTGCCAGATTAATAAAGGGATCAAGCCAAAAATAAAATGAATGAATTATTGATTTTTTGTTTATTTTACTTAGACTTACTAGCTTTTTTTTTTTTTAAATGTTTGCTATGTGAGTTAAAAAATCAGCTAGACATATAATTCAGAATTGCATAAAAAAAAAAACTGTTTTAGTTGGTCTTCAGTGGTTCTTTGTGGTAGTTGAGGTGCTTTTTAAAATAGCAAAAGTCGTATTTTATTTGAAAATGAAAATCGGTTTGAGGTCAAATCCCAACGTTAGGTCGAAGTCAATCTCCAGAGTCCAAAAATCAACCGAATATCAACGTCTAATAATGTTATAGCTTGACATTGCGTGAACGTTCCCACTATGACATCTATCAGACGTTGAATTTTGGATGCCATAACTGACAAATAAATGTCAGTATTTGACGTCAGTATGACATCAGTGTAAGTTGTTGGCTTGATGTTGGATTTTGGCCATTTTCCAACACAATCTAAAATCAACCAAATATGAATGTCATTTGATGGCATAATTGGACATCAAAATACCCAGCAAACTTTTTTTTTTCAAAAGATGTCTAATAGATGTCTAAACATAATCATCCTGGCTAAAACAATGCTAAATTTGGGCTGTAAAAATAGACCAAAACTAGACTAGTCATCAAATAAACAGAAATTAATGACTACACATATAAAGTCTGTCTAATCTGTCTATTTGATGACTAGTTTAGTTTTGGGCCATTCTTAGACGTCTATGAGATTTCACTGACAGCCAAAGTTTCACCTTGTTTTAGCCAAGCTGTCTAGATGTCTTTTAGACGTCTGTTAGACATTGTATTTTGATCACCTGACATCATGACCTCAATCTAACCTTATATTAATGTCTTATGATGTTGTGTGCCTGCTGGGTAATGTTTATATTTTAGTATGAAAAAAATGAAGTAGAAGTATATATTTATTTTTATATGCTGTCAATTACAGTTTTTAGAAAAGAAAGAATGGAATCCGTATTGGCAGGTCACACTCTCTAAAAAATAATGCGTCAGTTAATGTTGAACTATGACTAATAAATGCTTTACAGGATTATTCATACTTAGTTAATGTTAGTAAATAGTAATAAACCATTATTCTAAGGTGTTATCAAAAAATCCTTATGGGTTTGGAAAGAAGATTTAATTTAGGTTTGCAAACTAATCCTCAACTTTTCTAATAACACATGACATCACACATTACATTATGCAAATTAGGCTAAATCGACATATGTGCATGTATCAGAGTTACAATGAGACAACATTGGTGCAACCGACATAATGTAACCTACCACTTGAACATCTGAGGGCACTCGGGACAAGAAGTCCAAAAGCTCATTGTTGTCGATGCTGTACGGGTCTCGTAGTTTTTTGGTAAACTTGTTCACCCCTGAGAAGTGAAACAACAGTGCTGCGTTAGATCTCACTCAGACAGCACAGTTCAGAAAGACATTAAAAGATCCTGTACTGATGCTTTCTGACCCTGCAGAGCTTCAGATCTGAACACAGTATACAACCCAGTAAACTTTTTCCTTTTCCCTGTCATGCGGGTGGCCAGTCCCTGGAGCATGCAAACTTAGACTGCCACGAAACTATGTGACCTCCTAGTCTATTTGCAATTCTAAAGTATGCTTTGTATTTTGGGAAATGTGCTTTGTATGTAACATGCGACTCTGTCTTATGTTACTTTACAGATTGTGATTGTAATGGATGACGGCTCACCCCAGGCCAGTACGATGTATCTGAGAGGAATGAAGTACAGCACTAGAGTGACCACACATAGAGCCACTATCGCCAGCCAACTGAGGAAAGGCACGGTCCAGTTGAAGGTACTGTGAAGAGAGAAACAGGTAAAGGTTTGAGGATATCTTCTACACCATGCATGAATGATGACAAAATTAATGGGAAGCAGCTTTGTTCAGTGATATTGCCTACACTAGATATGATGTGATCACAGCACACACATTGGATTTTGGATAAACTCCATGTGCTTGCACTACTTTGATTACAGTACAAATGGATCATATAGGCATTGTAGACAGTTATGCTTTTCAAATTTCTTTCTGTCTTTGCATCTTTCTTTCTTTTTTAAATAATTACTTACGACAAAATCTGTAAAACATCTGCATAGACATGTTCCATTTCAATGCAATGATAATGAAGCTATAATCAGGCATATGATTCATTCACAAGCAGTAAAATTAAATTGATATGACTGCTATTATTATAATGTACATAACAATCAGGGCTTGATAGGTAGATTTAAGCTGTGGCAGGTAACACAGTCGCACAGTAGGTTCAATATCAATTTTAAATAGGTTGTTTTCAGATGACGTCATTGCTGGCGCACAAAATTCAGATAGAGGGCAGGAAATTATTCTTCTGCATAGGAATCGCTATCAGAACATCAAAATGTTTATGTTTTGTGTTGTTTATATTTGTTTAAATCGTGAAAAATAAGAAATTTTGAACAGCTTTTATAGACTTTTTGCTCATAAAGGTGGTAAAGTTAAAAGTTTCAGCTACTCAATGTACTCATTACTTACATTGCTGTAATAAAATCTCAGTCTTGCAATAATCCATGTCTTTACTGGCAGTTTGGCAGAATAAACAACGTAAACATCGTGATGCGCAGCAGCAGCGGTAAATGTTTGTTTATGTTAAGTTCATCGACCGAACAAAACAGAAATGCAACCATTGCGACAAAACTAGACGGTTTTTATTGTGGAGCACTTTCCCCCTTTAAAAAAAAAAATAATAATAATGTAGACTTTGCTTCCATGCTTTTGTATGCTTTCATTTGTTATTTCATGATGTCTAAAAAATATTCGCTTGAGGGTAAAACTATAGTAGTTTATAAAAAACATTTTTTTGAACCACAGTAAAGTGTATAATGTGTAAAACTTTGTTAATGAATACTACAGTATACTGTAGCATAGTAAACTAAAAAAAGACTGTGACGTTAGTGTAAACTGTGGTGCTATGTAATGGTGTTATAGCATGGAAAACTGAAGCCTGCTGAATACTTAGTTCAGTACTAAAGTTGTGTCGTACCACAGCAACAATATATTTACTACAACAGTTTAATTTAAGTAATTATCTATAGATGCTTCCAAACATTATAGTATTTTTTTTTTTTAACATAATAGCCAATATTGTCAGGGTTCTGCCACTTTGGTCTTGTAAATTCTTGTTTTGGTGGCAGAGCTCTGACACTACTCCTCCATGTCTGGTCCTGTTTCTGTCTCTGTGTGCGCGCGCGCGCCGTCGTGGGTGTACGCAGAGTGTGCGCGCTGCCACTTGATGTGGCCGCGCACGCTCTGCGTCCCTCAGACGCGCGCGCTCTTGTACTAGTGTTTGTGTTTGTTCTGTCAGCAGCGCGCTGCTTTATTCTCGGCGCCTCCGTCTAGTTGGTTTCAGTTTTGGTTGGCGCTGAGATGAAGCATGCGCGTTGCTTATGTGTGAGCGCACGGTAAGGTGTTTATCTATCGTGTGCTCGTGTCTTGCGTCTCTTGTCAAAGCACGTGGCTTGGTGTTTACATTGTGGTCACGTGCTTTTGTCGTGTGTTTCAGTGTTGTTTGTTGTCATGAACATGCGGTTAATGAGTTCTCTCATTGGCTGCATGTTCTTGTCCTGTTAAGTGAGCGCATGGCTTGTGTGTCTCTCTGTGTCATGCGCTCTCCCTTCTATTGTCTTGTCCCACCCTCCTTGTTAACCCATTATTAGTTAATTGTGTTCACCTGTTTGTGTGTTAATTTTCTACAGTTTATATACCCCTCACATTTGCTGTCCTGTGCCAGTTCGTCATCACTTGTTGTTGTTTGAACCCTTGTCTTGTCATGTTTCCAGTCCTGTTCCTGACCATCCAGCCCAGTGAAGTTTGTTTGTGTATGTATTTGTTTTGTTAATGTTTTCCCCCTTCGGGGTAGTTTATTTTGCATTTTATTTTATTTTTATTATTTAATAAATTCCCATTATTCCTGCACTTGAGTCCTCGCTCCTTTTTCCCCATTTCCCCTCACCGAACCTGACAGTACGAACTGACCAAAACAGAGGACTCAGCAGAAAATGGGTATCTTCCTTTTCCCATCTCCCACTTCTCGTCCCTCTGCATGCCAGCAGAAGAAGCGTTTAGGCAGACTCCTTTCACTCCATCAAGGGGTATCTACAGTGAAGGAGTTTGCATACCAGTTCATCTACGCAGCAGAGGGGCTTGAATCTACAAACACTGCACTGAAGGAGGCGTTCAACGCTGGACTCAACAGCCCCCTTCAGGCCTGGGAGATGGGAATGCTGGGGATATTGACATTCTGGCAGTTTGTGAGCTATGTCTACCACAGCCAGGGAAATGGTGGCCTGCCTCCACTTGGTCCACCGCCCCTCCCACTTACAGACTGCCAAATCCCCAGTCCTCCGATGACCCACCAACGGAGACGGAGGAGGAAGAACGGGTCAGCCTCACCTGTCGCCCACCCAGAGGTGACTGAACCTGCTGCAGCCCTTTCAGTTACCATCCTGGCTGCAGCATCACTTACTGAGGCACCCGCATCAGACACTGCACCAGTCCTGCAGGCAGTGGAGTACACTGCAGTGTCTGAAGAGGTGGCCAGCTTCCTGCCACCCAGACCAAGGAAGCGTTGGAGGAGAAAGGGCTCCTCCACCACAACGGCTCCAGCCCCAGAGCGCCCTCCAGTGTCGGCTCCAGCCCCAGAGCGCCCTCCAGTGTCGGCTCCAGCCCCTGAGCGCCCTCCAGTGTCGGCTCCAGCCCCTGAGCACCCTCCAGTGTCGGCTTCAGCCCCTGAGCGCCCTCCAGTGTCGGCTCCAGCCCCTGAGCACCCTCCAGTGTCGGCTTCAGCCCCTGAGCGCCCTCCAGTGTCGGCTCCAGCCCCTGAGCGCCCTCCAGTGTCGGCTCCAGCCCCTGAGCGCCCTCCAGTGTCGGCTCCAGCCCCTGAGCGCCCTCCAGTGTCGGCTCCAGCCCCTGAGCGCCCTCCAGTGTCGGCTCCAGCCCCTGAGCGCCCTCCAGTGTCGGCTCCAGCCCCTGAGCGCCCTCCAGTGTCGGCTCCAGCCCCTGAGCGCCCTCCAGTGTCGGCTCCAGCCCCTGAGCGCCCTCCAGTGTCGGCTCCAGCCCCTGAGCGCCCTCCAGTGTCGGCTCCAGCCCCTGAGCGCCCTCCAGTGTCGGCTCCAGCCCCTGAGCGCCCTCCAGTGTCGGCTCCAGCCCCTGAGCGCCCTCCAGTGTCGGCTCCAGCCCCTGAGCACCGCTCAGTGCCGGTCCCAGTCCGGCTCCTTGCCCTGCCGGCACCACCCAGACGTCTTTCCCTGCCGGCCCCAGCCCGGCTCCTTGCCCTGCCGGCACCACCCAGACGTCTTTCCCTGCCGGCACCACCCAGACGTCAAGCCCTGCCGGCCCCACCCCGGCTCCTTTCCCTGCCGGCACCTACCAGACGTTTAACCCTGCCGGCCCCAGCCCGGCTCCTTGCCCTGCTGGCACCTACCAGACGTTTAGCCCTGCCGGCCCCAGCCCGGCTCCTTGCCCTGCCGGCACCTACCAGACGTTTAGCCCTGCCAGCCCCAGCCCGGCTCCTTGCCCTGCCGGCACCACCCAGACGTCTTGCCCAGCCGGCCCCAGCCCGGCTCCTTGCCCTGCCGGCACCTACCAGACGTTTAGCCCTGCCGGCCCCAGCCCTGCTTTTTGCCCTGCCGGCCCCAACCAGACGTCTTGCCCTGCCGGCCCCAGCCCGGCTCCTTGCCCTGCCGGCCCCACCCAGACGTCTTTCCCTGCCGGCACCACCCAGACGTCTAGCCCTGCCGGCCCCAGCCCGGCTCCTTGCCCTGCCGGCACCTACCAGACGTCTAGCCCTGCCGGTCCCAGCCCGGCTCCTTGCCCTGCCGGCCCCCCACAGACCTCTGGTCTTGTTTCCCCTCATAGACACTCCCTGGGTCGTCCCTCCTGCCCCTCCCTGGTGTTCCTTTCCTCCACCCTGGACGGACCCTCCGGCTCCACCCTGGTTCCCTGCTAGGGCTCTCGACCCGCTGGACCCACCCTGGACAGTTCCTCCGGTCCCACCCTGGACTGATCCTCCCTTGTCTTGCCCTCCCATCCCTCCCTTGTTTGTCGTTTTGGGTCTGGCTTGGCTTCCCTCCCTCCCCCCCTTCATGTCGTCTTGCCTGTTCACCTCCCTGTCTTGTGTCTGTTGATGTTGCCTGTTTTGTTGTCTTGTAGTGTGTCTTGTCTGTCTTGTACCTTGTTGGATGTTCCCTTTAGGGACGCCAGGTGGCGTCCCTTTTGGGGGGGGCTAGTGTCAGGGTTCTGCCACTTTGGTCTTGTAAATTCTTGTTTTAGTGGCAGAGCTCTGACACTACTCCTCCATGTCTGGTCCTGTTTCTGTCTCTGTGTGCGCGCGCGCCGTCGTGGGTGTACGCAGAGTGTGCGCGCTGCCACTTAATGTGGCTGCACACGCTCTGCGTCCCTCAGACGCGCGCGCTCTTGTACTAGTGTTTGTGTTTGTTCTGTCAGCAGCGCGCTGCTTTATTCTCGGCGCCTCCATCTAGTTGGTTTCAGTTTTGGTTGGCGCTGAGATGAAGCATGCGCGTTGCTTATGTGTGAGCGCACGGTAAGGTGTTTATCTATCGTGTGCTCGTGTCTTGCGTCTCTTGTCAAAGCACGTGGCTTGGTGTTTACATTGTGGTCACGTGCTTTTGTCATGTGTTTCAGTGTTGTTTGTTGTCATGAACATGCGGTTAATGAGTTCTCTCATTGGCTGCATGTTCTTGTCCTGTTAAGTGAGCGCATGGCTTGTGTGTCTCTCTGTGTCATGCGCTCTCCCGTCTATTGTCTTGTCCCACCCTCCTTGTTAACCCATTATTAGTTAATTGTGTTCACCTGTTTGTGTGTTAATTTTCTACAGTTTATATACCCCTCACATTTGCTGTCCTGTGCCAGTTCGTCATCACTTGTTGTTGTTTGAACCCTTGTCTTGTCATGTTTCCAGTCCTGTTCCTGACCATCCAGCCCAGTGAAGTTTGTTTGTTTATGTATTTGTTTTGTTAATGTTTTCCCCCTTCGGGGTAGTTTATTTTGCATTTTATTTTATTTTTATTATTTAATAAATTCCCATTATTCCTGCACTTGAGTCCTCGCTCCTTTTTCCCCCATTTCCCCTCACCGAACCTGACAAATATAGTATATACTACCTCGATGACAGGCAAATACAGTTCAGTAGAAAACTCATCCCTCTTCAATATGTAAGGATCATGCCCAACAAATGTGGTTATTTTCTCTTCATATCTCCTTTGAAATATGGTATAACTTGCAGAAATACAGACTTTCCTCTAAGTCTCCCTTTCAGTTGATTACTTCATGCCCTCCATCTGAATTCCGCACAAGAACCATGTGATTGAAAACAACCTGCTCTAGTTTTCTTAAAAGTCAAACAAATTAAAAAAATAAAAATTCTTTTTCTTTGTATTTTAGTCAAGAGATTATTCCACTTTACATCACTTGAGTATTCACTGCTATTGTTAATAATTATTTGAAAAATAACTCAATGGATACTAGTTTAAAAAAGAAGAGTTCAGATGCAAAAACCTCTAAACACCATTTTCTTCATAGATTTTTCTTAGACTTGTGTGTAGGTTTAGTAATTTCACATGCATGTTGATGAATAGAGTATTTCCATTGCCTGTAAAATGAAAAAATAATGATAATAAATATATTTGAGAATAATACTTGTTTTTGAAAAAAATTTCAGATGGCATTTAGAGGATTTTGCATGTGAACTCTTTAAGTATATATTTAAAGAACCTTTCCAGTTTTTGTACTTTACAGTATGTATTACTCAACATTTGAAGTGAATAGGAAATGTTAATCAAACTTGTCCTAAGGGGTGGCACAGTGGCTCAGTGGTTAGCACTGTCACTTTACATTAAGAAGGTTAGTTGAAATTTCTGTGTGGAGTTTGCATGTTCTCCCGGTGTTGGCTTAGGTTTCCGGGTGCTCCGGTTACCCCGACAGCCACAAATACACTGCAAAAAATGCTTTTCTTACCTAGATTTTTTTTGTCTTGTTTCTAGTTTAAATATCTAACAATTCTTGTTTCAAGAAAAAAATTCTAAAAAAGCAAAAAAATAATCTCATGTCAAAAGGAAAAACAAGATTAATTTGCTTACCCCATTGGCAGATTATTTTGCTTATTCTAAGGAAAATCTCACTTAATATTAGCATATTATTTCACAAAACGGGACATTATGTTTTGCTTACTTCTTGATATAATATTTTTTTTGTAGATATTTGGACTAGAAACAAGACAAAAAATCTGAGTAAGAAAAGCATTTTTTTGCAGTGTAAACTAAATTGGTGGAAGTGTATGTGTGTGCATAAGTGTGTAAGGAGGATTCCCAGTACTGGGTTGCAGCTGGAAGGGCATCTGCTGTGTAAAACATAAGTTATAAGTTTGGGGTTCATTCTTCTGTGGCATCCCCCGATGAATAAAAGGACTAAGCCGAAAAGAAAATGAATGAATGAACTTGTCCTACTGTAAGACAAGAATAAGTGTTTAGGTTTTGTGTAAACTTTGATAAAAGGTTTTAAATAACTTCAAGTGTTGACTACTGTGTACCAGCTGGTATATTATTAACATTATAATTTGCGAGATCTGACGGGGTTTAAACAACCTAAATCAAGTAAAATGACTTAGATTGAAGCAAGTTTAGCATGCCAAAGTGAAATTTAAGCATAGTAAATCTATTTTTCTCACAACAAAATTTTGTCTAGTGAAAATGCAAAGTGGCTAGTAACTTGGAAAAAGTACTAGTCAAAGTGCTCGAGACAACAATGTACAACAAACATAAATAAATAAACTTTACAAATAAAATTTTTTGAAGACATTTGAATAATTAACAATGACTTTTATTGATTGATTGGTAAAATAATTGATTGATAAAAATAATATTTAAAGAATATTTAGACATCCCACTTCAAAACAAAATGAAAACTCTGATTATGAAAATGATTCTTTTCCCCAGTGTAGGCATGCGTGTGTGTGTTTGTTTAACCGACTGAGTAAGATGTGACAGAGGTTGGCACAGAGATGCCCACGTGTCTGCTCAGGCACAAGCAGCGAGAACTGAGACTTACTTCTTTATCCTCTCACCATAGGAGGCCACTTCATCCAGAGCATTCTGCACACTGATACACACATCCTGAATGGCATACAGCTTGTTCATGAAACCCTTTCTCTCGGAGTCCTGAAAGAATGAGAGCGAGAGAGAAAGAAAGAGAGAGGAAAAAAGAGAGGCTGGGCAAATGCATTTCCACACAGCTGAAAGAGCATCAAAGGCTCTCTGTCTCTCTCCAAGTTCTCCATGCTGCAATAAACATGTTTGAAATTAATCACGCTTTGTGTATCAATAACGAGAAGAATATTTATTCTAATACTTTCTTCAGAGAGAACTAGCTATGTTGGCTAACCAGGTTTTACGCTGGTGACATCATTGTGGCCATCGCCGCCATCATTACTACGAGCACAAAGAATCTCTTCTTTTCAACTTTTGATGGCCTTCAGCTTTAAAAATTGGCCACAAGAACCTCAAAAGTAGGCGTCAGTTAAACGTTTCCACAGTCCAAAGGTTTTATACTTACAATAAGAACAGTCATGCAACAGTTGGGCTGACACAGAATGTAGTGACTGAGTGTGGACACAGAGACAGAGACTGTTGTAGTGCACTGATGTGCAGACACATACACACACGCACTCACGTGCACACACATACACTTCCAAGCTCACCTTAAGGGACTGTTCACGCAAAAAAAAAAATAAAATCCTATCATTATTTGCTCATCTTCATGTAATTCCAAATCTATTTTTACTGATAGAGCAGCCCAGGTATATTCATTTTATCTAAAAACTGCAATTAAACATACACTCACTGGCCACTTTATTAGGTACACCTGTTCAACTGTGTGTTAACTCAAATTTCTAATCAGCCAATCACATGGCAGCAACTCAATGCATTTTGGCATGTAGATATGGTCAAGACGATCGCCTGGAGTACAAGTTGAGCATCAGAATGGAGAAGAAAGGTGATTTAAGTGCTTGTTGGTGCCAGACGGGCTGGATTAAGTATTTCAGAAACTGCTGATCTACTGTGATTTTCATGCAAAACCATCAATAGAGTTTACAGAGAATGACAGAAACAGAGAAAATATCCAGTGAGTGGCAGTTCTTGTGCCTTGTTGATGCCAGAGGTCAGAGGAGAATGGCCAGTATGGTTCCAGCTGATAGAAAGGCAACAGTAACTCAAATAACCACTCATTACAACCGAGGTATGCAGAAGAGCATCTCTGAATGCACACCATGTTTAATCTTGAGGGGGATGGGCTACAGCAGCAAAAGGCCACACCAGGTGCTACTTCTGTTAGCTATGAAACAGGAAACTGAGGCTACAATTCGCTCAGGCTCACCAAAATTGGACAATAAAAGATTGGAAAAATGTTGCTCTGATGAGTCTCGATTTCTGCTGCGACAATTGGATGGTAAGGTCAGAATTTGGGATCAACAACATGAAAGCATGGATCCATCCTGCCTTGTATCAATGGTTTAGGCTGGTGGTGGAGGTGTAATTATGTGGGGGATATTTTCTTGGCACACTTGTACCAATTTTGTTTTTTCACAGAAAAAAGAAAAACGTACAGGTTTGGACAAGAAATCCATTACATATTTATAAATTTTGGGTAAACTATTCTAAAAAGTACAAGATTTAATCTTATAGTTTGCCCAAAAGTAGACATTTGCTGTTAGTTAACTCACTATAAGGCATCCAAGATGTTAATGACTGGGTAGAGCATTGGAAATAATTGCCTTTGCAAAAACAAGTACATTGCGCCGGGTATGGTTTGTTGTATGTTTCAGATGACAAATCCACTAAAGACCGTTGTCAACATTTTTGCAAATCTGAAATATATTACTTAGAGTAAAGGTTTTGTTGTACACTTCAGATACACTTCCTTTTTATACACGTCAACAAGAAGGCAAGGCTCGTTGTATAGATTACCTAGACTATCGAAGCTATCGAAGCTAAGCACTCTGCATCACAAGTACAACATCATACAAGGTGAGCTACCAAGCTCTATACACCCTATTTATTTATTTATTTTAAGTGCAACATATTCCAAAAGATCAGGGTGTATTGACAATACATCAAGGGCTTAAGCCACTAAAAATCTCCCCTCACAATGCCACTACTTCAAAATATCTGCTTTTGTGTTTAACAAAAGAATGAAACTAAAGGTATGGAAAAACTTGGAGATGAGTGAATTTATGTTTTTGTAGAACTATCCCTTTAAACACAAGTTAACACCAGGGACTTAGTCAATAGTCAATAAAAACATATACAGGCTAAATAAAATGAATACATTGGGATCTTACTGTATAAAGCACAACAATCAGCAAACATCCTGAATGTGTTTGTTACCAACTCGGTCCCAGTCATTCTCCTCACTGGCCAGCAGATGTCACCATCACCGGACTTCTAAACATTACGTCATGCTCATACACTGATTGCTACACACACCTGCAGCTCATCCCACTGATGATCCACACACACATATAGGCAGCTCACACACTCACTCCTTTGCGAAGTCTTGTACTGCCCTGCTGACATTACTGAGCGTTATCCCCTTGCCTGATCTCCCGTGTATTACCTGGACTGTTTCTTGGCCTTGCCTTGCCTTGCCTTGCCTTGCCTTGCCTTGCCTGCCACCTGCCTTGAACCTTGCTTGATATCTTGACTTTGATCCACGCCGCCTGCCCTGAACCCAGCCTGATATCTCGCCATTGACCCACGCCGCCTGCCTCTGACCCATGCCTGCTATCACACTCCTTGACAGCCAGCCGCCAGCCCTTAGACCCAATATAACTACGTTTGATGTGAGTTCGCACACAAGTGCTTATTGTGTGATTGTGATTAAACTATTTAATAAATATACTGCAAATGGATCCCTCTGTCAGATTCCTCGTTACAGTGTTACATAATATTGTTGATTTTTCACTTCATATAATCTCAGTGTATCTTCCGGAAGCATGCACGATTTCTTCTTTAGAGTTTTGATTTTTTTTTTTTTTATGTCATCTTGGACAGCAAATTGTCTTAATTTTTTGGCTAAACTATCCCTTTAAATCTCATACTTGGAATTTCGATTTGCACAATTCTGTTTATGTACAATTAGACAATTATTTGAAGAGAAGAACGTAAATCCAATGTGGAAAAATCAACTTTGTCCATATTTCCAAACCCTGACACAGCTTATGCCCCTCCGGAGGGCCTACACAAACACACTGGCAGCACTTGAGAAGAATGAAATGTCCTGGTGAAATGGAGCCAGCAGGAGGGCACTGCCATGCCGCAGAGCATCACTATGCCTTTGCCCTGGGTCTGCTTTATAAGAGCTCCAGGCTCTCTGCTCAACCCTGCCCAGGTTTATCTGGAAGCACTTCAGTCGCCATCCACAAGCCTTTCATGGAGATCAATTGAAATGTCACTGCAGTTGATCATGTCCACAATGAGACGACCAGCTATTGAACCCCTGGATCAAAACCCGCTGCGCAAATCAAAGCAGAAAAAGAGGGAGAGGCTGTCTATGCATAGAGATGCTAACATAAGACACATCTGTGCTTTTTTGCATGCTATAAAGGAATTAAGATGCATAGGTCTTACATATTGCGTATTAATGAATTTATATGCATTTAAAGGACTAAATGTAACTCAAAGAATTCAATTCTGTCATTTTATTACCCTCATATATTGCTCCATGTTGGTTTTAAAATATAATTTCTGCTACTTTCACAAAAGAAGGGTTTGAAAAGACATAAGGATGAGAAAATAATGACTTTTTAATGACTTATTTTTTGGTGGCTATACATCTCTTTATAACATGCGTGCATAGGATAATTGTATGGACTGAAATTCCCCAGTTTAACAAATTTCTTGTATGTGCAAAGTATGTGTTGTATGTGATCTTAAATGTAAGATGATTTAAGATAATTTATTGTTCCAGTCCAGACTTACAAAGTAGTTCAAAGTCAACATGCAGCTTGTTTTTATACAAGACAAAATTTAAAGGACCTCTTGCCTGCTCTTGTGCAACTCAGGTGTTTCTGTTTTCAAATAAATAAACTTAAACTATTATGTCAGTTTAGGCAAGTAGCGTAGCGTAGTTGTGGCGCAATAGGTAGTGCTGTCATCTCACAGCAAAAAAGTTGCTGGTTCGAGCCTCGGCTAGGTCAGTAGGCGTTTCTGTGTGGAGTTTGCATGTTATTCCCACGCTCGCTTGGGTTTCCTCTGGGTGCTCCGGTTTCCCCCACAAAGACATGTGGTACAGGCGAAATAGGCTAAATTTTCTGTAATGTATGATTGTGAATGAGTGTATATGGATGTTTCCCAGAGATGGGTTGCAGCTGGAAGGGCATCCGCTGAGTAAAACATGTGCTGGATCAGTTGGCGGATCATTCCACTGTGGTGACCCTGGATTAATAAAGGGACTAAGCCAAAATGAATGAATGACTAAATGTCAATTTAGTGTTGCCCACAATTCTGTTTGTGTTTTCTTTCTGTGTATATTTTAATTAAAACTATATTAATACAACTAAATTAAGCTTATTTCAACTTTTTAGGGCCACCCCGGAAGCTAACAGTGATGCTCTAGAGGGCCCCGACCTCCTACTTGTCCACATACAGAAACAATACTGTAAATATTGTAAGTAAAGAAAATAAGAAAATAACATTTAAAATTTATTCTATTGATGTAGCAATGAATGAGTACTGGGATATCATTCCCAAAATTAAATAACTAAAAATAAATTAGGTAGGCAAAACCAAATCAAACTATCTGCAGTCCCTCAGCTAAAACACACACACACACACACACACACACACGCATCCCATCCATCTCCCACGCTTTGTACCGAATCCCACACTTGAAAAATGAAGCCCAATATGGCCTGCATAACCACATCGCCTTCCCAAAAAGCCACACAAGACAAATAGATATAATTAGACCACGTCTCAGGGTTATTTTTCTTAGCAAATATTTAACAAGACTCCCCTGTCCTGACTCCCATCTGGTTCGCGTTATCAACCGAAACAAAAGTCCAACATACACTCCATTGTATCGGCTGCTATATGAGAAAAGAAGACTTTGAGGGACAAGCTATCTGTGTGTGCGTGTGTGTGAGCGTGCAGGTCATGGG